TTCTCAGTGATTCCACGAAAGGTTCCAGGAAAGGCTCTCATTGGTCCAGCTTGGGTCACAGGTTCAACTCTAAACCAGTCACCATGCCCACAGGAATGGGGTGCTCTGGTTGGCTAGACCTGGTCACGTGCTCATTGCTAGAGTGAGGATTTTCCCACATTGACTGAGGCAGGTGGATGTGACAGGGTCTGTCACCAGAAGAGGAGAGGACGGATGCCCAGGAGTAAACAAACAGATGTGGGTTAAGCAACTTGCTCCACATCCAACAGCAGGTAGGTACCTGAATCCAGCTTCAAGCCCAGGACTCACTGACCCTTCCCACCCTTTTCACCCAGGGGATGGCTGAGGTGTGAGATCCTCAGTTATATAGGATATGACAGTCACCTTCTGAGGGACCCCTTGGCTCCTGGCTGGCAGGGGCAGAGGTGGGAGGTAGGGTTACTTTATTTTTTTAGTTTTCTCGGGAAGCACCAGAGGATCTTGTTTCAGAGTAGGATGGACGTCTTGTGATTCTTGAGTCCACTTCCCTCTTACAGAAAGGAAAAGGGAAGCTCAAAAAAGGAGACACCAATCCTTATCTAGTCCTGAACAATGCAGGGGTCGATGAATTGAAAGAATAGCCTTTTCCTTGGAGGTACCCCTGAATAAGGCAGGAGGGGGAAAAAACAAGACTCCCCACTTCTTTCTCCCTCCATCCATCCCTCTGTCCTTTCCTTCCTTCCTTCCTCCCTCCCTCCCTTTCTTCATCAAATATTTATTGAGCTCCTCTGTGCTGGGTATCATGTTAGGCACTAGATAATGATGAACCAGGCACACACAACCCTACACCCAGGAGCTTCCTGTTGGCAGAGGAGCCTGACATTTTTACAAATCATCTGTTAATTACCTAATTACATGAGTGCTACAAAGGTACAATAGGGGACTGTCAGACCGCCCTGATGAAGTGATGACTGAGCTGAGACCTGAAGGATAAATCCAACTTAACCAGGCAAAGAAGGGTTGGAACGGTGTTACTGGCAGAGGGAACAGCATGATCAAAAGGGCCCAGTGGTGGGGAGAGCAGGGCACATTCTGGGCAGGGAAGCCAGGG